GTTAATATCAGTTCTTCCCAAGCTCATCTCTAGATTCCACATAATAACAATCGAAATCTCAGCATGCTTTTTTGTAGAAATTGGTAAGCTGATTCTAAAATTTATTTGGAAATGCAAAGGAACTGAAATAGCCAAAACAATTTTACAAGAGAACTGTCCGATTGCAAGACTTACTATAAAGCTACAGGAATCAAAAAAGTGTGGCATTATCCTAGGATAGCAATAGAGATCGATGGAACAGATTAGAGTCCAGAAATTGACATACATGGTCAACTGATTTCAACTCAAGGTGCCAAGGTAATTTGAAAGGGAAAGAAATGACATGGGAGCAACTGGATATGCATTCTAAGAAAAAATGAAACTTGACACCAATCACAAAAATTAACTCAAAATGGAACACAGACCAAAACATGAAAGGCATAAGTATAAACTTGAAGAAGAAAACGTGAGAAGATATTTGAATCACTGGAATTGCCTAAGATTCCTTAGGCAGGAAACAAAAAGCACTAACCATAAAAGTAAAAATTAATAAAATGGTGTTCATCAAAATTTGTTCTTCAAAAGACAAGGTTAAGAAATTGACAGGCCAAGCCATAAACTGGAAGAAATTATTTGCAATATATATCTGACAACAGACTTGTATCCAAAATATATGAAGACCTCTTAGACCTTAATATTTAGAAGGAAAACGCCAAGTTTAAAAAAGAGCAAAAGAGGGGCCGGCCTGGTGGTGCAGAAGTTAAGTGTGCACGTTCCGCTTTGGCAGCCCAGGGTTCGCCAGTTTGGATCCCGGGTGCGGACATGGCATCACTTGGCAAGCCATGCTATGGTAGGCGTCCCACATATAAAGTAGAGGAAGATGAGCGAGGATGTTAGCTCAGGGACAATCTTCCTCAAAAAAAAAAATGGGTAAAAGATTTGAACAACTCTTTCACACATGAACACACAAAGAATTATGGCCACGTGAAAAAGTGCTCACCACCATAAATCATCAGGGAATAATTAAAACCATAAAGACATGCCCACTGGAACAGCTACAATGTAAGACTGGTAATACCACGTGTTAGCAAATATGTGACCTACTGGAAGTCTCATAAAATGTTACAGTCATTTTGGCAAGTGTTTGGCAGTTTCTCCTAAGTAAGATAAAACAATCTTACCATATGACTGGGCAGTTTCACTCCGAAGTATGAGTCCATTTATAACTATAATTCTACAACAGCAAAAACTACTCTGTAGTGAAAAAGTTTTCTCAGTGGTTGCCTGGATCAGGTGCAGAGGGGGACATACTGGGAAGGCACATGAGGAAACTTTTTTTGAATGAAGGAGATGTTCCATATCTTAGTTTTGGTTGTTTTTACATGGGTGTACACATTTGCTAAAACTCACTGAGCTGTATTTCTAAAATGTGTATGTTTGACTGTATGCAATTTATATCTGATTAAAGTTGATTTAAGACGTGTATCAACCTATTATAACATTTGGACCTCAAGAAGATCCTGATCTGAATAATAACAATTTTTAAAAGGAGGGGAGGGGATTTTGAATGTGCCAAATATTGGGCGATATTAAGCAATTACTATTAAGCTGGGTGATGGGCCCATGGGTTCATTTTACTAGTCTCTCTGCTTTCATATGTTCGAAATTTTCCATGATAAAACACTTAAATTACAGCATAACTTCAACTATTTAAAGGATTACTATGTAGAAAAGGAATTAGATTCTATGAGAAGAAATCACATGGAGGAAAATTTGGAGTCAACATAAGAATGAACTAGCCAAGAGAACAATGACTAGCCTTGTAGGGCAGGTTGTTCACACTAGGAATTGTCGATGCCCAGACCTCATAACTACTTGTTGGGGCTACAGGAGAGGAAATGACTGCAATTAGTGAGAAGTTGGACCAGGTCTCTTCCAACCTAAGATTCCATTAACTGTTGATCTATGAATCTGACTTCTGGTGCAGTTTTCCCAATCAAGTCAGCACCCCATTACTCTCCAGCCATATCAAATAATTATCTATACTAGTTATTTGATAATTCACAAAAACTATTTCATATGTTTCCCATTTTCCTAATTTTCATATATATATGATATGTCCTTTTCTTAAGCCTTTCAGAAACCAGAATTATGCTTTATACCTCTTGGAATCTTCAATTCCTAGCACAGTACTCTCTGTACACACTGGGCCATCTAAATGCTTTCTGGCCAATACCTTTCAAAACAATGCTACTTTGTAACACTGCCCCCTCTTCTCTTGCCATTCATGTCTGTGTCTTCTCCCATCAAGCAGAGAACACATCCCATACCACATCTGTGTCCCCCAACCCAGGCCTAGAACAGGGCTCTGTGCATATCAACAAACAAAATGAATAAAGAATTCCTCCCACATCTGGAGGCTGTTGAATTTTTGAAGTGATGACTCATTCCGATAAACAGATTCCACTCCTGAGACTGCCTTAATCACTGAAAATTTCATTATTCGAACTGCTCGGGTCAGACACACCTTCACCCCAGTGGCTGCCACCACTGCCAACAATGGAGAAAACTAAAAGACGGTTTGGTTTTCCTCCATCTTTCCTATCCTGGTGGCCTTTCTCCTGAATTCCCCAGGTATTCCATGTCTTTATATCGCCCTCTGACCATCCGAATGAGGAGGTGGCAGGGAGACCCTACAAAACACAGGTACTGCACTAGACACTTCACGTTAGCAACTCATTTAACTCTTACAACACTTAAAGTGGGTACCGTCTGCATTTAAAGATGAAGACGCTGAGATTCCAAGTCTGCAATTTGCCCACACTTCTAAGTGATGAATCTGGGATTCAAAGTGCTCAAGACTCATGCATTTTACAGAACAAAATATAACCCTCTTTCCTACACAAGTCATGAAGTAACAGAATCTAGAGGAAAAAAATATTTTTGTTGCGGAAGATACTTTGTCTACAGCTCCGAGGGCAACTCGGCCTCCAGTTTCTGGAGGCTTGCTCATTCCCATAATTCATCAAGAAAAACATCCAATTTCAACAAGTACCACAAGGGGGAGCTAAGTCCTGAAAAGCTTAGATAAGTTTCTAGACAGATGAAATGTCTCATTTGGATCATGACTCCCTTTAGAAAGATAAATCTGAATAAATATTCTGCCATAAGTGACTCTTTCTAAGAAACAAATCTGACCGTATCCCTTGCCTGCTTACAACCTTCAAAGGAGCCTTCCCAGTCTAACGTCACTCATCCTGATATACGACTTCCTTCATGGTCGCCCATCTCCCTCCAAAAGACCACCCGCCTCTAACTCTACACTTCAACAATGCCAACACCTCCCCGGGCTTCCCCAGATAACCTTTTCTGCACGCCTCCATCCATCTGAACATCTTATTTCTTCTGTCTGACTGCACACCGCCCCCATCTCCACCAGCCCTTCTCTTCAACAAGAAACTTCACAGCAAACACCGTCGGTCCTTCAGCTCTGCTCAGAACACGTCTCAGCTAACTTCTGACCTTCTTGGAGCATCCTCCCACCACAGTGAATCAATTAGCTCAACATATCGTTCTCCTATCAGGGAAATACTTCCCTTTCGGCCCATGGCATATTAGGTTTCCAGGGAACGTCTCTATCACCCTGGTAGACGAAGCTTCTTGAAGGGAAGAACCACGTTTACAGGGGCGTGTGTGCCCAGGTCTGGCACACAGCAAATCCTCTTCAAATGCGAAAAATGCCAAAACAAACTAAGAACCCATCAGAGCCACAGACCTGTGGCTTGTTTCAGGGGCTATCGTGAAAGGATCAGGAGCAATGTTCATAGAGACAGTTTAAGTCCTCCCCTCATGCTCAAAATCAACTGAACAACTGTGATAACACTCTCTGAAGAAACTATGTATGTCAAACTTACCATGTTAGTTAAATAAAACATGAATGAATATATTAAAAGAATTGCATTTTCCCAAGGTGTGGCACTCGTCGCTTCTTCAGCCTTCGTTTCTCGCTGCTTTCTAGGATCAACAGCATTGACAGGAGTGCGCTTGGTTGTAATTATGCCTTAAATTGAGGGGGGAAAACTACTGTTTTATTTTGTGCTTCAGAATAAGAATTGTTTCTCTTCATTTTAAACATTTGTAGAGTGAACACGAAATGTTAGTCACTGTGCCTGGACACATGGTTCTCCTGAAGACAATTATATAGAAAAAAATTCAGAGTCCCCATTAGAGCTGTCACATCCTTCAATTATAAAAGGAACATATCTCCAGGCCACTCTACCCCTGACTAGTCTCCTCTGTCACGCCCCGGCAACACCACTGCTATCTGAACAATATTTACTTGGGAATTGAGAAAGCAGAATTTTATGCTTTTTCCATAAACACCCAGTCACATTTAAGAAACATTTATTTAGTGTGGTGAAGCAGTGTATTTGAAACTTCAGGCAAACAATGAGAAAGGTCGCAGACCTGAAGGCAGGGGGCACCAGTGCTTAGCACAGTGTCTGGCACCTGCAGGCACTCCAGAGTTGCTTACTGAATGGCTGAATGACAGCGACACAAAACAGAATATGGTAAATGCCAAAGGGACAAAAAGGAACTGCTTACAGGGTGGGGCCTGGCTTGCAGCTCTGTGGAAGAGGCAGAATTTCAGCTCTACCTGAAAGGATTTCCACAGGAGGAGGTGGTAGGGAGAGGATTTCAGTATGAGTTAGTTGGGTCTGGGGCACGTCTTATAGACAGGTAGGAGTCCGAGAAGCAATCAGTGAGAAGCTGGACTGGCTCCTCTCAGGCCTCTTCCAACCCTGAGGTCCCATCCACTCCTGATCCACGACTCTGACCTCGGGTGAAGTCGTCCCAGTCAGGTCAGACCTCAGCACCTGAGATGCACGAAGGGACACTCGGGAAGATGAGCCTGTACAGGTAGTTGACGTCATTTTGCAGTGGAACTTACAGGACAGAGCAAAAGGTCTGTTTTCTATTCTGCCAGCAGAATTTTTCCTAACCCTGAAAGTTTTTGAGCAAGAGAATAACAAGTTCTTAATGGTGTATGACTCATGTTCGACAAGCAGAACCTTTGTGAGTTACAAAAATTTAGAAGTAGGGAGTATTATATATAAAGTAATATCCTCTGGAACACAGGAGACCTCCGATATGTCATTTCTTCTCAAATTAGCTGACCTCCTCTCCTTGCCATGACTTCTCCTGAACTTTAAAAGGGCGCAGGAAGTACAGCCCAGTGCAGCCAGGCCTTGCGGTCTCACAGGCTAATGCAATACCGAAGGTTATAGAACGTAATCTCTAAAAACACAACATCAGTAATGATGTCATATCACCATATCGGACAGACAAAATAAAAATCAGCTGTCCTTCTGATTTACTGGTAAAATGAGTAAGCTACACAAAAATTAGAAAGCTGTTGATATCATTATTGGGGTGGTATTTTATTTTATTTTATTTTTAAAACAACTTTCTCAATTCAAATGAAATGAGTTGCTTTCCCACTGGATGTTTTCTGTGCTCAGTCTACAGTGGACTATTACATACTGAAAAGTTCTGCAGTTTCCTATAACCTTATAGTATAAAGACACCTAGACATAAATATCTCCTCCACTGTTTTAAAAAAGTTTTTATCTTGTCCAGGTAGCAAATTAACAAGAGAACTGAGCGACATGTGTTCTACTGGGGAGGGGCGGTGGAATGGGGGGAAAACACAGAATTTGTGAGTTTTAGAGCAGTGGTTCTCCAACTTTAACTTCCAATAGCTCCGAATTTCCTGGAGGGCTTGTTAAACACAGATTTCTGGTCTCCACCCACAGAGTTTCTGATGCTTGTGGGCTGGTTGAAAACTACTGTTTGGGAGCATAAGGCTTTGTAAGAAGAACACTTTAGATTGAAATTATCTGCACAGGCTAATGACAGCCAATCACTGGCATGTAGCTTAGTTACAGTCTCTGGCCTGTTTCTTATTATTGATCTCCACCCGTCTTCACTTCTGCTTTTCTCTGTGAGTTCTGGGATTTCTTATTTTTTTAAACCCATTCATAGCTGTATTATTCCCCCCTGTTTCCTACCTTTAACAAGGAATCTCCTAGCAGCTCTCCTTTACAATAAGCCTCTACTTTGTAGAGAAAATCAGCAAGCTTTACCTGGGTGTATGTCTTTCTCAGTATTTGGCTTCTGTGACATTTCTGAGGTACCCACATCACTAGTCGTGGGTTGATCCAATTGATCCAAGCAGCTGGGCTCTTCAGGAATCTCTGTTTTAAGATCTTCTGTGCCCTCTTGTGAGAAATCATCTTCACGTGGTGGGGGGATGTCTACGGGGAAGAAGAAGGCATTGGGCTGGCAAAGCTTGATGACGCTCCCCATTCAGCTCCTCCCTCTGAGCAGCACCCCCTCATCGTACAAGTCCAGGACCCCCTACTACTGCCCTCGGGTGCTGGCAGCCCGGGCAGCACAACTGGGCAGGGAAATCAGGGTTTCCATTGCTTTTGTCTCACTTCACAGACGGCTAATCTACAGAATAAAATTTACAAAGAAACCCTTATTCCAAAGCATTCCATAAAGATAGATATTTACAGGGGCTGGCCCCGTGGCCGAGTGGTTAAGTTCGCGCGCTCCGCTGCAGGCAGCCCAGTGTTTCGTCGGTTCGAATCCTGGGCGCGGACATGGCACTGCTCGTCAGACCACGCTGAGGCAGCGTCCCACATGCCACAACTAGAGGAACCCACAACGAAGAATACACAACTATGTACCGGGGGGCTTTGGGGAGAAAAAGGAAAAAATAAAATCTTTAAAAAAAAAAAAAAAAAAAGACTCTCTAATGTTAATATTTAAAAAAAAAAAAAAAAAAAAAAAAGATAGATATTTACAGTAGGGACTCCAATAACCTAACTTCCCTTGGCAAATCAACATACACCCACAAGGATAAATGTACAAGAGAGAATTTCAGTCAAGAGCAGAAATAGGAAGCATCTATTTTACACAGTAATGCCATGAACTCTTTCCTACACAGGCGTGCTGGTCTCACAGAGCTAGGACAGAGAAGGGCATGACATATAAAGGCCGCTTGCTGAAGTGCCTGTCAAATATTTTCAAACCACCTCGAGGAGTCAGAAAGAATCAACCCATTTCTGTCCCTAAGAGGCTCAGGGCATAGCCGAAGGGCACCCACAGCAAAGATGAATTTCTCTGAAACCTCACAGTTTTGCCCTGAAAATTCATTTGAGTTTTGCGCTCCAATCCAAAATCTATCTGCTTTGATTAAAGCAAAAAAGTTTCCTTTCCCAAAATGCTCAGGAAAAATGGCCACTGTGGGAAGAAACATTTAATCTAGGGTTGTATGTCCCCCTGGTACTTGACCATCTATAGTGAGTCCAAATACCTCAGTCTGAAAAGCATGAGGACAGAGAAAAGAACATGGAAGTAGGAACCAGCTCGCCTTAGGACACTGGCTTGGGGTCAATTCCTTCCTATTGACTGAATGGCTTATGTGTGTCAAGTGCTGTGTGGGCGGGCTCTGCCTCCGTGCTGGATCCTTGGTTAATCTGACTGCAAGAACCCTCACGCCCAGCAGAATTTCACTGACCCAACAGACTACCCGCAAGAGCCAGGAAAAAACATGACCTCCACAAAAGAGGACAGCTGGCGGGAATGAAACTCTTGCAAGGCTTTGATTTAAAAGTTGTGCCCGTCAACCCTTGGACAGACAGCAGTTATTTTATGATTTAAGAAATGGCCTTCCGGGGCTGGCCCCATGGCCGAGTGGTTAAGTTCGCGCGCTCCGCTTCAGCAGCCCAGGGTTTCGCCAGTTCGGATCCTGGGCGCGGACATGGCACCGCTCATCAGGCCACACTGAGGCAGCGTCCCACACGCCACAACTAGAAGGACCCACAACTAAAATATACAGCTGTGTACTGGGGCGATATGGGGAAAAAAAAAAAAGATTGTCAACATCTGTTAGCTTAGGTGCCAATTTTAAAAAAAAAAACGGCATTCGCAAAAAGCCCTTTGCTAATTTTACATGAAACTTGAACTTTAAGAGGTCTATTTTGCACATCATTTTCTTGTTTGTATCTTTCTTTGTCTTTTTATAAAGTTTCCTTTTTTTAAAATAATTTTTATTCTTTTTTTTTTTAAAGATTGGCCCTGAGCTAACATCTGTTGCCAATCTTCTTTTTTCTTCTTCTTCTCCACAAAGCCCCCCAGCACATAGTTATATATTCTAGCTGTAGGTCCCTCTGGTTGTGGCATGTGGGATGGCATGGCTTGATGAGTGCTGCCATGTCTGCGCCCAGGACCCAAACCAGTGAAACCCTGGGCCACCAAAGCGGAGAGCTCGAACTTAACCACTCAGCCACTGGGCCGGGCCCTAAAGTTTCCTTTTGAAAAGGCCACCAGTTTCAGCTGTCGTACAGGGAAACCAGGATAGAAATCCTTATCTGTGCTCTAGCCTTAAAGAAAGAAGGCAGGAAGGGACCTGTGGGTGTCACCGTGCTGTCTCTTGCCTTTGGGCACACTGTAAACTGTGGACAGAGCTTTACAAAAAGGTGTGAGGGACTTCAGCCAAGCCTCCCCGACCTGCTTCTCAAGCCCCACTCTACAAAGCCATAGACAGGCATTCTACCTTCCATCAGTCTATCCCAGTCTTCCGCTGGACGCCGTGCTGCTGCCGGGGGCACAGTCTCCTCTGCTATGGAGTGTGTGTACCTGACAAAATAGATTAGGTCTTGAACGTCATCTAGCACCGCGGCCTCTTCAAATATGTTACTTTCCTTCACTCCCAGTTCTCCATTTTTGATCACACGAGTATCGAGCATTTTCTCTGCTATGCTCAGAATTTTGGACTCCGATGCACGGAAAACCTTATCTAGGACTTTTTCCACATTATAAGGCAGGCTCTCCTGCTGGGCTGCCTTCAGCTTTAGTGACATTTCTTGGAAGAGGGCTTCCAGCTCATGGATGTCAAAGTACTTCTGGAACCGCTGCAAACACTGCGGTTCTTTAAAGAAGCTGCTTATTATAGGCGCGTCCTTCATCTTGTCACTCTGCTTGGGCTTTGCGGTCCAGTGGGGAGGCCAGTGGAACACGTCATCTTCGCGTTCCCCAGAAGCAGACCCCTGGCGTTCTGTGTCCATGAATTTCTCTAAGTCCTCACGGTCCTCTTTTGAGACTTCTTCTCCCCCAGGCTTCTCAGTGGGCCCTGAGGTGTTCAGGTGTTCCTCAGGGCTGTCCTCTTTAAAATAATCAGGATCTTTATCCTCAAACACTTCACCTAACTCTGGAGTCTCATCTTTTTTCTTGTCAGGAAAGTCACTGCCTTCAGATGGCCGCTGTGCTTTCTCATCTACCAGAGGGCCTTCTTCTTTTTCCACCACCATATGACCAGGTTTCCTGTCTATTTCGCCCACAGTTTCATTTTTTCTTTCAATTTTTAAAAGGCTACCAGTTTCTTCTTTGTTTTCTTCGGTTTCTGGATCAGCATCCATGGCACCTAAAACGGCTCTTTCGGGGCCTTGCGCATTAACATCAAACTGCCTGTCCTGAATCACAGGGCTTTCTTCTTTAGACTCTCCTGCACTTACGGCATTTTCATCCTCCAGTAGTTCTTCAGGAGCGTAATCGTCATCTTCTGCTTCCCATTCTTCATCAAGGAAATCCGGTACTTCCGCGCTATCATTTTGGTCTGTTGTTTCCCTTTTGTAATCTTAGTCAATTGAGACCATAGGTCATACAAAACTCCATATTTTTTACACCGGGTAGTGTCCATTTCTTATGATCTGACAAAAACATGTTACAGAACCTTGGGCCCTCATGCCTGGAAATCATCTTTCTATTTAATTTTGCTTCCATATATCATCCCTGCCAAAGAACTTGGGAAAAAAAAAAAGTAGAATATTGTTTCCAGAGGACAAATTCTGCATAAGCTACTATCAGGACAAATGTAAATAAGTGCCACTGCCCTGAAGGGAAATGGTCAGAAGGAAGATGGGTGGGACACGGGCCTTTCTACTCCAGTGCTCTTAAGGAAAGCAGTAAGAGAATGCCACAAGAGCAGGGCGTGCAAAGTGCCACCGAAACGATTATCAGACAGCAACAATCCCTTCTGGCTGGGAGCTGAGGAAAGTGCTTCCCTAAGAAGGCAGGAGGCAAGTGGGGACTCAGAAAGACTGGCAGGCTTTCTAGAGGTGAACATGGTCATGAGCCCAAGTGCAGAGGAAGGAAACTGCAGGTCGAGTTCACGTCTCTGACAAATAAAAATGGCAAGCAATAGGATACATTGGAGAATATAAGGAAGCCATTTGGTATAAACCTAATTCGGCCTGACCTTGTCTTTCCAAAAGGGCCTGACCGAGGCCATTGAGCATACATTGTATATCTGCTTTAGAGATTCCCTATGGCAAGAGCAAAAGGCCCTTGAGGTAAAGGTACAACTTCCCTCCCTCTCCCAACATTGGCGTCTCCTTAAGGATTAAGCATCTTTCCTTAGGCTAGAAACTGATTGCTGCACTCACCTGTGACCGCCCAGCTCCCAGCTCGAGACAATAGACTTGCCTCCTGCTACCCCACGAAGATAGCAGACCCACTACCTGCTGTGTCCATCAAGCGCTGTGCCAACAGGGCAATCTTGTGACTATTGTGGGAGGGACATTTCAATCATATGTAAAGCACCCTCTTTCGGGGTATATAACCACTCTGTACAGCTCATTTCTTTGGTGCCCTTTCTTCCCTTGGGAAGAAAGGCCCCGGGCCATGGTCCTCAGATTTCAGCTCAGAATAAACTCACCCAAATTTTCATTTACAGATTGGTTATGGATTATTTTCATCGACATCTCCAAATGCTCCAACTTCACCATTAGAGGAAAAATGCAGCCTAGGTACATGGAAAAGACTCCCCAAGAGGAAAGATTAGCAAGAAATCTCACATGGTGGACCTGAAGGCAACAGAATAGATTCTTCTTTGTAGAGAGTGATTCAAATGGGATTCTGCCTAAAAACAAGGGTTGTACCTGACCCTCCAGCCTTTCAAGATTCCTGCCTAGGAATCTCGAATGCCAACAAAATGAATCTATTTCTCCCTATGGAGGCTTCTCAAGCCTTCTTTTCTTTTCTTTTTTTTTTTAAAGATTGGCACCTGAGCTAAACTGTTGCCAATCTTTTTTTTTTTGCATTGCTTTTGCTCCCCAAACACCTCCAGTACATAGCTGTGTATTTTAGTTGTGGGTCCTTCTAATTGTGGCATGTGGGACGCCACCTTAACATGGCCCGATGAGTGGTACCATGTCCGCGCCCAGGATCCAAACCAGCAAAACCCTGTGCCGCCAAAGCAGAGCGCGCGAACTTAACCACTCGGCCACAGGGCCGGCTCCTCAAGCCTTATTTTCTGTCGTCTGTTTGGTGTTTTACGGAGAGTGAAAGTTTTCACAGTTGGGACTGGATATTTCTCTAAGTTTGGAGAACCCTAAGGACATCAAGGACCCACTACTTTCAGTAAACAAACAGTCCACACACGACACTTTATAAAAAGGAAAGGGCAATGACTCAGAGCTTCTCTACCAGGTCACTCCTAGGGGATCTCCTCAGTAAAAACATCAAAGCATGATGCCTTCACTGATTTCCATGTCAGACATCAGGAAGAATGCCACTCGGGGAACCTCTTCGAGCAAGTGCCTCAAAAGCAGGGAAAGGATGACCCAGAAGTTGCAAAGAAATGCATGATTAGGTAACTGTTCTCAGAGCTGCCAGGTTTTCACAAATATTAATAATTTAGAAAAAAAATACAAGTAAAATCACCTTTAACCATGAATGCCTGGAACACTATTTTGCACACAGTTTCTAGGATTAAGTCTAATGCCCACGAATCTTTCTTTTTGAAGGAATGAAGCTAAGGGTTTCCAGGTTTCACCATTTCACCCTTTACTACGCGTGGAGCATCCGTGGCTGATGAGGCCTAGAGGGTGATGCTGAGGAGTGAGCAGCACTTCAGTTCTGTTCAGGAAACCTCTGCTGAGCGCTTACTCCGTGCCAAGCCTGACACCTGCTGGGGACACAGGGCCATCTTCTTTTTCCACAGCCTGGCAGAGCGGACAGGTTCACTCCATCAAAGATTCCAAGAAAACAGTTATTTAAAGCTACGGTGTTAAGCTGATAAAATGTAAGAAAAGAAAGGATGTCGACTTTTTACTTACACTTCCTGCCCAAACTTCAGGCGATCCCCCTGCCAGTTTATAGTAGACATATACAGGGTCTTCTTTTTTAAAATTCACAAAACGACAATCCGGGCCTGCAAAATCTTGCAGAGCCTCACCTCGGACCATTAACACTGTATATGAAGAGAGAGAAAAAAATAACCAGATATCAGGACGCAACTGTCACAGTCCATATTGATTTTATCAGGAAGTCTAAGAATCCACTGTAAACAATAATCAAGCTTCTCCAGTTTCCACTCTCGGGAATCAATTACTTCCAATTCATATGCTCAAAGCATCTAAAATCTTCAAAGCTTTATCATTATAAATCATGACATCCCCAGCCAAGTAGACAGTGGAGAGGGAAATCTTCCCTGTTTTTCTCTACGTTTAATGCTGAGAAACAAAAAGCAATGTGTCCACCCTCACACACGGCTGGTCTCAAGTGAAACTCTTGGTTCCCTCCCTAGCCTTCTAGTCTTCAATCTTTGCTGTTTCATAATCATAAAAAGCTTCATATTGCAATTCGGAAAATTCAAGTTAGGTTGCTGACTAGCTGGGCTACATGTAGAGAGAACTGGGAACTGTGGAGAGCACCCAGGAACCCCCAAGGGGTCAATTAACTTGAACTAACCACTAAAAAGCACTATCTTTAAGTGGCTGTAACTGCTACCACAGCGACAGTAAACACTGTCAATTTCATTTGCAGTAAACAGTGTCAATTTCATTTCGGGCCAAGTTTTTCTCTCCATACAGGATCTGGATAAATTAACGGGGAAACGAATTCACACCCTAATATGGATCCTAACACATTACAATGTTAACATTTTCTGAAAGTAAATAATGTTGACTGCACTCAATATTAAGAAGGTTTCAAAACAAAGGAAAATTACCCTTATTTATTCCTATAAACAAAATCAAGAGTGGACATCACATGTGGTAGGAACAAGCAAAACTATGAGAATTCAGTAGTTACCTTCAGTCTTAAAACTCAAGACTTAAATCACACTTGATCTAGAAACTGGTGGAAGCAGTATTTTTCTTTTTGTTGGCCAAATAACACAGTTACTGATGTAAGATGAAATGGCTAATAAACGCAATTAAGTAGCAGAGAAAAAGAAGGATGAAATGGAAATACTTCTTCTGAAAGCCAATTAGCAATAAATACATTAAAACATATCTTTAAATAAGTACTTGAGGGACAAACATACAGATTCGAAGGGGGGGTATTTGGATTTTGAAGCTAAAAATCTGATTATCATTTTAATACATGTCAGCAGCCTAATTCAGATAGAATTGGGTGACAGGCCAGGTTGAAGGTGGTGATGGACAGTTTAAGATGAGACCAGAAGTGGCAACAGCAGTGGTTCTCTTGTTCCCCCTTAGAAGAGATCATTGAGGATTTATAATAATAAATCAGATGACATCAAAATGGACACCGTGGAACAGCTATCTGAAAAGCACACAAGGACACCTCACACGCACCCACCTCACTAAACACTTCATGCAACACAACACAGACCCAGACCCTGCCCCGGCTGCCCTTTGTTGTGTTTGGTTACGCCCGTTTGGACAGATGCCATTTCTCAAGTTATATGACAACGAAAAGCCATTCCAACACCATGTCTCCGCACTGAGAAAGGAACAGCGATGTGATTCTCCAGGTAACTGGTTTTGAGGAACCCAGGTAGGCTGGTGCTTGAAAGCAAACGTTTCATCATAGCCAGCCTGCCTGCTAACAACCTGGGTTTGCTACGAGATAACTGAAGGAAAAACTGGAAGTTGGTCCGCTTTTGTAGCGTTCATTTATATCAGCCCTAGGGTTACCTCTAGGAATGGCTTCACGCAGAGCAGACTGCCTCCCTTCTTTTCTTTAATGGTGTAGCGGTGATACGAACTCTTCAAATGATGACATTTGTTTTTAAATAACACCAATTTGAATGTAAATAGCTGAACCTACGGTTATGGCCTTTTCAGAAGGAACACTTTTCTATATGTATTAATCACAACTTATCAACACCCGCTTCCGAAGCAGTTATCAGTAAGTTACAAGGTTATCCGAGACAGGCCGGGAGTCCGTAAAAATGATCCTGGTCCAGCAAACACACAGTCAGAGACTCCAACAACACAAGAAACTAAGGCTAAAGCTAGTGGGTTTTATAGAACCCTTGGAGTCTTTATTATTACTACTTTAATAATCCTTTTCACCAGAGTCTGAGATCTCTGCCCTCCTCACCGCCCACGGCCCACCCCCTCACCCCCAATCCCCGATTGGGGAACAATTCCGCTTCCTGCGCAAAGACAAGGAGGCTGCGGGTCCCAGGTGGCCCATGCAGATCCTCGGCCTCTTTCCAGAACGAAAGATTTCGGCCTTCCCGGTGCCCTCCCTGCCTGGCTGTCTGCAAGACTTCCAAGCACAGAAATGACAGGATGGAGGCAGAGCCGGGGCGGAGACCTTGGAATACACTGCATGCCTGGACTCCGGGCTCGTCCCAAAGCTAAACTCCAATCCCGGTTCGAAAGGCGGTACGAGTCCCAAAGCCGAGTGAAGCAGAAGGGCGAAGGGGCAGCGCCAGCGGGCCCTTCACGAGCCCCACCAGCAACCTGCGGCCGGGAATACGCCCACCGAGCCCTTAGCGCATCTGCCCCCGGACTGCAGCCACGGGGCTCCCCGCAGCGGGGGCAGGAGAGCGCTCGGATGCAGCGTGGGGAGCCCAGGGCGCGTGGCGCGCACCCGTCTCCCCTCGGGTCGGGGCGGGTCGGGGGAGCGGACGCTGTGAGCTGCCCCTGGGGAGACCGGGGGCCACCTCCGACGCCCCACCTCCCCAATCAGCAAAGGAAAAATCAAACGCGGGCAACAAGTGGGACTGCAGCCCCCACGCCAGGGCCGGCTGGCCCGGGCGCCGGCAGAGCCGGAGGGGACAGACGCAGGGCCGCGGGGCTCGCCTAGCCCGGCGCTCAGCCCGCCTGGCCTGCGACCCCCCCAGCCGGCATCGGGGCTGCCGAGCGCCCGCCCCCGCGCCCCCCGGCGCCGCCGCCCTCCGCCACTCACTGCTGCATTCGTCGTCGGCGCAGAGTTTATGCTCCGAGAAGCGCCGGCCCGTGTCCAGGTCCGTCAGGCCCAGCCCCGGCCAGGGCGGCCAGAGCAGGAGCAGGCAGAAGAGCAGCCTGGCCGCCGCAGCCATGTTGTCGTCACCTCGGGGGAGCCGGCGACGCCGAGGAGGCGGCCGGCAGGGCGGCGGGCGGAGCGCAAGGGGCGGGAGGAGCGCAAGGGGCGGGGCGACACCAGGACGGTTTGAGAAGTTCCCGACCGACACGTCAGCGCCAGCTCTCCGGGGGATGGAGGAGGTCCTGGAGGAAGCGGACCAGAGGTCCGACCTCCTTCCCGGCGCCTCCTCCTCTGATCGCTGCCGTGGCAACCGGGACCTTATATACCCCTCCTCGTCCAATCAGCTGCCTTTGCCCCGTCTCTTCACATTTGACGCTCCGCGCGGCTTTTGTCCTCCGTCACCAGTCTCTGTGACCTCGGATCCTCCGCGCGCCATCCCAACGAGTGGTCCTTTCTGGCACCCTCTCGCAACTTCTGATTTCTGGTCCTTCCCAAACCAGCCCACCTCCACAGCCCTATTCTTACTACCTCCTTCTCTGAACTACCGAATCCCACCCACGATTTGCCACTGTTAGTCTGTGGTTCCAGGCTCCCTCTCTTTCAGACTCCCAGGGGTTCCTTGGGGTCCCATCCCATGATCCCCGTTGATTAGTAAGGGGTGTGACTGGGTTGGTGATGTAAATTAGAGCTGGTGGCCGGCTTGGTCTATTTTGGACTCCTGGAGGATGGAGGTGGCAGTGGGTCCCCGTAGGGAGATCTTCAGATTCTTGGGTCTTTATCCACAAGGGAAGAAGTAATTTAATTCAACACAAATATGTTGAGCTTCCATTTTATGCTAGCGTTTCATGCCAGACACTGGGCAAAGCACGAGGGTGGTGTGGGGAAAGACGTAGGTCAAAAGACGAGATCTCTGGTCCTTGTCTGAAGAAGCCCACAATTTAGTGGAAACCAATTGACAAGAAAAACAACTCAAGAATCAATGTCAGAATAGAGAAAAACCTAATTAATTGCAGTCAACATTTATTGAGTGTTTTCTTTAGGCCCTGGTGGGTGTTATTATTCTAAGGTCTTTATATGTGTTGATTCCTCGCATCATCACAACAGTTGTACCTCACAGTAGTAGATCCTGTTAACCACCTTCATTTTCGGGATGAGTCAGTTGAGGCATTCACACATCTAGTGAGTGAGTGAGCTAAGATTCAAACCCAGGTAGTACCCGCCCTTTTCATCACAACTCTGCAGAGCCTTTATCAAGCAACATTATGATTTTTGGACTTTCTTTCTGACTAGGGGAAGCAAAATCTTGCTTAAATCACAACGTAAGTGAATTATATATATGCGCAAAAAAGAAAAGGCCAAAGCCCACAGTAACTCCAGGGAAGAGTGGCTACAATGTCCTGGCCGGGGCTGGAGGGCTTTGTCCGTGACCAGGGTCTTCTCACTGCCGTCTCTGCTAAGGTTATTCATCAACCTCCAACGCCAGTCAGGCCCACCAGTTGGTTTCCCAAACTCACTGGATTCTTTAAAAGCAAGAGGAAAGATTGTGGCCCGTCCATACGATCCACAGTGTTGAATAAAGGAAAAGATGGGATGTTCACAAAGATGCTCACAGTTGTTTGTCTATAGGGGCCATGAGATGTGCCATTGGTCCTGTGTAGTTCGCACACTATCAGGAGAAAATGTGTGACAGATAAGGTCACCAAGCGTTCAAGTGTAGTGCCCTTAGGAATTCTTCATTTCTTTTTTGCTATGTGTTTGTTTGCTTTAGAATGTCAGATGTGTCTAATAGGCATCTTCAACTTAAATGTTAAAAACCAAACTCTTTATTTTCTCTCTCAAACTCTGTTCCTTTCAATCTTCTTTATCTCAGTAAATGGCACTTTAATTCTCATCTTGCAGGTGCTCAGGTCAAAAACTTACAAACCATTCTTGGCACCTCTTTCACCCACACTCTAAGTCCAATCCCTCAGACAACATCGTGCACTCTTTGTTTTAATAGCTTTCTTGAGGTGTAATTGACATACAATAAACTGCACACATTTAAAATGTACACTTTGATAAGTCTTGACATACGTATACACCCATGAGACCATCACTACAATCAAGATAATTAACATATGCATCACCCTACAAGAGTCCTCATGCTCCTTTGTCATCCCTCCCTCCCCGCTCTTGCCTGTCTCCTAACAACCTTCTGTTGCTATAGAGTGATTTGTAATTTCTAGAGTTTGGTATAAATGGAATCACATGGTATGTTATCTTTTTGGTCTGACATCTTTCACTCAGCATAAGCATTTGAAATACATCCCGAATCTGAGCACTTCTCACCATCGCCTATGCTGACACTGCTGGCCATGAGGGCTGAACCACCGTGATCTCTCACCTGGAAGACCTGCAACAGCCTGCTCACTGTTTGCCCTACTTCCACCATTGCGTTCCAACAGTCTGTCGTCTCAGGAGCAGCCAGAGTGATTGTCTCCTGATAGAAATTGGGTCACGTCGCCCCTCTGCTCAAAACCTTCCTATGACTCACCACTTCTAAGTAAAATGCAATGACCTTATTAAGGACTGCACTGCTCTTATTTGATCTGACCCCCCTCATCCCTTTTAGCCCCATTTCCTAACACCGTCCCCTTGCTTTGCTGTTCCACTCAAACTCACTAAGCCCGCACCAGCATCAGAGCATTTGCACTCGCAATTTTCCCTGAACCTGGAACAGGTCCCCCAAACAGTCCACCTGGCTAACTAGTTCCCTCACTTCATCAAGTGTCTGTAACAACTCCATATCTTATTAGAGAGGCCTTCCCTGATATCACCCTACATAGAAGAGAGCTCCCTCCGTGAACATCCCGCCCATCATCCTGCTATATTTTTCTTTAGAGCACTTACCACCTGCCTGACATTTGTTTATCTATTTGATGGCCCCTAACCCTAAATATAAGCTCCATGGGAGCAAGGAATTTGTCCATTTTGTTCACTGCTCTAACATAAGTGCCTAGGAAAATGTCTGGAATGTATGAGGTACTCAAAAAATGATTTGTTGGATGAACCTATGATTCCTCATATATTATAAATATATTACGCTATTAACCTACACAGAGTCTCCATATATAAATAGTACCGAGAGGGAATATGCCATGAGACCAAGGCATTTTGTGTCTTCCCTTCAGCAGCATCCTCAATATGGGGAACAGAACCTGGAATATATTTATTGGAATATATTCATTGTTGATTGAGAGCATATTTGTTGGGAAGGGAGCGAATGAAATTGCACTGTACTTTTTTCCTATATACTACGAGAATATTAAAGCAGATAAAAATAATTTTAATTTTTCTTATTTCTATTTAGAGTAGAATTAATGGCAATTCATTGGTGGAAAAAGAAAAATTCCAAAATGATCTAATTTAATATTACTTTACTAATACTTACTTTGGTATTTAGATATGCTTTGATACGAAGGATGAGAGCTGTTAGTTACTGAAGAACTAGCTGCTTAGTTTGTAGATTTTCCAGGGCTTTATCTCCATTCTTTTTTATTATTATTATTGCCTTTAGATATTAACAAGTTTGGTGGTTAATCAGAAAAAATTTCTCAGCAGACCACAATGAGGGTGGTGGTGGTAATTCTTTCTGCCAGCATATATAATTATAATGGATGAATTAGCACTCATTTTTAATAGCATTCAAATATGTTTCACATAAATTCTAATCCCAAGCATGTTATTTGTTAACATTTCAGATGGAATTTTCATTGGGTAAAGATTAAGTAGAAGTTAAAAAAATAAATGTGTCTAGTTTGAGGGTGTACATAAAAATATAAGATATGGAGGGTTCCTGATCTTAAAGAAGTTGCAATCTGATTGAGAAGACAAGACAAACACATCTGAAAGAATAGAAGACAGCATAATAACATATCATTGTAAACTTCCCATGGTGCCTGCCCAGGGGCATCCAGAAGGTCTAACACTGAAGTTACCAGAAAGAACTCAGTCTACCGCCAATGATGAAACCACTCTGAGTCCAGAGAATGGTGGAAAGTATTTATTGAAGACTATGGCTTCCAGCCAAGATGGAATAAAAGGGAACATGTTTACTATCCCACATTAAACCTCTAAAAACCTGGACCTAATATATGAAATAATAATTTTTAGACATTGGACAACAAACCCTGTAGGACAATGATAGCCAAGATAAGTGGAGCAAATAAAGTGAGTGCTGTGATTGCCCTCGCTTACTCCTTGGATAAAGTTTCCAGGCCACAACTAGAGAAGGGAAACTCAAACAGACGACCTCCTTGTTGAAGAGACAGATTTGAAACTTTGGGGAGGTCAAGTCAGCTGGAATTTTCAGGGAAGAGTACAGGAGAGAAGAGAGCTGAATAAACAAGAGAGAACTGTACAGTCAGAGCTCCAGAGATCTGCAGAGGGTTTCTCTCAGGTCTTCAAGTGAGTAATGATAAGCACCTGTGTGTGAATGAATTACCTGAAGCCAGGGAAAGAACTACCAGAGGACAGGAGGAACAACTGTTGAAGAAGAGAATAGCTTGTGCTCCCACCAGCCAGAGTAGACAACCTGTAATAAATAGGGCATCAGGTACAGTGCTCAGTAAAGGGGAAAATATCAGCCTAAGATTGAAAGCTACTATAACAAAGCTTAAAAACAAGCCTTGAGGGGGCGGCCCCATGGCCAAGTGGTTAAGTTCATGCGTTCGACTTCAGTGGCCCAGGGCTTCACCGGTTCAGATCCTGGGCACAGACATGGTACTGCTCATCAGGCCATGTTGAGGCGGCATCCCACATCCCACAACGAGAAGAACCCACAACCAAAGTATACAACTATGTACTGGGGGGATTTGGGGAGAAAAAGCAAAAAAAAAAAAAAAGAAGAAGTTTGGCAGCAGTTGTTAGCTCAGGAGAGAATCTTTAAAAAAAAAAACAAGCTTTGAAAAGATCAAAATGTTTCCAAGTAAATTAACTGCATTCCAGAACAAAGCTCAAGAATATTTAAAAGAATACAAAATATTCAGCACCCAACAAGGTTAATTCACAATGTCTGGAATCCAATAAAAAATTATGAGGCATGAAAAGAAGTAGAAAAATACAACCCATAATGAAAAGAAAAATCAATCAATAGAAACTTTCATAAATGACACAGATGAGAGAATTTTTACACGAAGACATTAACACAGTTTTAGTCCATATGTTAAAGATGCTATGGGAAAGCATAAACATGTAAAGGAGAAACATAGAGGATATAGCAACAATCTGAAT